CTGGAATGAAGAGTTAGAGTTATATAGATTATTTACATTCAGGCTAATATCCTCATCTTTGTTGTAATTGCCACAACGTTTCGGTCGTTGTGTCTTTCGGCCTTCTTCAGCTGTCTCTCGAGCGGGGTAACTCTCAAAGATTTTCGAATACAACTCTTTTTATTTAATCAACAGGGGTGAGTAGATTTTTCTCGTCGTTTTACTGTTCCTATGTGGGAATGTCTCCTTTTTTTATTATTCAGTTATGTGCCATGCGTGATACATGCGGAGGTGATCATGTATCTTGCAATACATGACTGACGAGGCAGATTTTTCCTACAGTAGGTTGCCATTTCTTTCTGCGATGGACCAGTTGCCATCCAAGGCTATAGAACCCGGTCTATCCTGCTATTTGCCCATAGCTAGAGAGAAAAGCAAAGGATCCATACCTTTCTCAGGAGTATTAGCACGTAAGTGAATTTAATGGATGCGACTGGAATTTGAACTCGGCTCTCCAATTCCTAAATCCGAGCCGCTAGCCATTACTCCATTAATGCTTTCAAGGGAATCTAAGCCTGTACTATCCGACCTCGTGATTGAATTACGATTCCACAAAAACCATTAAACAGTGATTTAATCCTACTGGGATAATGTCTAGAATCTTTTACAAAAAATATCAAATATTGAGTAATTGGATCATATTTTAGGGAATGTGTTGGGACATTGATTTATTCTTCACCCCCCCCCTCAGGCATTTTATCTACCGTTGTAACAGATCATCGTTTGCTGGCGTGGGTCTCTACGAACATTAATACCAACGTTCTTGTTATTGTTATTACTAATGTACAGGTGCCGCCAAAAATGACGTAAATTGTTCGAAAGTTTTAACAGAAATGAAACAAAAGTCTTGAAACAATGTATTTAAATTCAACACAATAATTTTAATATTAAAGATGTTATGGGTTTAATATAACAGTGAAATAGAAATATCTCTCAGAAGAAAAAGATTAAAAAAAGAACGACAAAGAAGTTGAAGCAAGACAATCACTTAATAGACAAAGATATCTGAGTGCCTCACATGAAAGGCTTGAACAAATAAGACTGTAATTTAGAAAACGTACGAGTAAGGGAACTGATCAATTAAACGGTTCATTTTTCTCGGGAACTAATTTTATCAAAATGCAGATAAATATTTTATTTGTATAGTTCTGTGATGACAACGAACACTCGATGACATTTTTGTAATGCCAACGAATACACGTTGTCACTTTTATCTTGCTCGTTGTAGTAGAGACCTTGTAATCACAGATACAACTATAGTAACGCCGTTGAACAATACTAGTGTCAGACGCCTTTGAATAATACTCGCACTAATAACACTTGCTCGAATAGTAATCCGTATAGTGATTCGAATAGAGAAATAGTATAGCGACAAGAGTAGAGAATAGCGGTCCGTATAGTAATAGAAGATAGAATAGAAATAACGATCACTTAGACGCAAAGCTAATTCCTACTTATGCAATTCCTCTATGATCACGTGGTCTAATTAATTCAATAATGGGATCGCCTGTGTTGGCTCAATGGCGATCTATGTTCAAACAAAAGTGTCGGCAGCGACACTTTATTCCTATATAATATATAGGTTAAGAAGACTAAGGGAAGTAATCATAAATTTACTAATTGAAGTTGATTTACCTCCCTTACCTCTACAGATGAAACAGGAAATATATAAATAAATACACATTGATAATTATTATATGGTTTGATTGTTACTGATTGAGAGGACAGCAGGTCAACAACGGACACGAAAGACACGTAGCCCAATACACCAGTCATGGCTCTCAGCCTGATAAGGGTATACGAGGGACTTACATAAGAGCCAAATGTGCCCGATTTGACGTTTGATTTTGGTAAAATCGGTAATCACCTGGCAGATGGAGGCTAATTTAAAATACCTAGGTAAACCAGTCCGTTCAGACAGCCTCCATTTAAGGGTATTCCCGAGTTTCCTTGTCTGTTTCATACTTCACACTTAAATAAAATCTCTTTTGACACCTAGCCATGGTGCTCTCTCGGTGTGTCAATTCCTAGGCGAGATGCCCAACTGATAAACAATTAAGTGCTACTGAACAGAATATGTACTGTAACCCATTAAAGTTAATCTACGCTGTTTCTGATCTTCATCAATGATCTTTCTGATGCCATCAGTTTCCAATTAGGAATTTATGCAGATGACACTGTCATGTCCCAATAGCTAATCCGTCAGCGCTGAGAAAGTTAAACTAGCTGTTGAAAAAACCCTCAAAATAGTGCTTAATTGGGACAGGAAATGCCTCGTAAATTTTAATGGTTCCAAAATGAAACTTCTTTCATTTAATCACCATAGAGAAACTTTCCTGCTCGCTATCAGCATGGCTGATGCTAGACTCCTGGAGAACAATTCACTTCTTGGTCTCACATTCTCACTTGACTTGAAGGGGAACAACTACATCGAATCAATAGCTGCATCTACTGCAAGGAAAGTTGCATCACTGTGTCGTGTCAGAAGGTTTTTCTCGTCAGAGTCCATCTTGGACATTTACAAATTTATCATTCGTCCGTGTATTGAATACTGTTGCCATATCTGATCTGGTCTCCCTGATATTCATCTCGAGTTTCTTGACAAACTCCAAAGAAGGATCTGCAATGTAATCAATCCTGATTTGGCATCTCGACTTCAGTCACATTCTCACCACGGTGACGTGGCTTCCCTCTGTCTTTTCTACAAATATTTTCATTTCAACTGCTCTGAAAAGCTGATGCCCTAACTACATGAAATTAATTGTGCTACAAGAGTGGCATCTAAGTTAAAATAGCTAAATGCAATCGCTACTTCTACTCCAACTGTTTCTTTTCTTACACTTCCCTCCTGTGGAATTCCCTTCCGTTTACTTTCTTCTCTGAAACTTACAATCTTCAAAAATTTAAATGCAACGTCAATCGATATCTTCTATCTTCTTGAATCCCGTTCATCTTTTATCCTTTCGTCAACCCCACCCCTATATCCAGTCTTTTCTCTCACTTTCACTCCATATAAGACCCTGCATACTAGTGTCATTCCCGCCTTGCTTGGGGTGAAATGATTATTAAAAAATCAAGATAAAACATGTATATGTTAACGCCTCTAAGCAGTTAAAATCAGAAGCCACGAGAGCCATGACATGAGGCATTATTATTATTATTGTTATTATGTTGTGGTTTGCTTTTGCTTTGTGTAGTACGAGTTGTATCTCCAAGTCAAAACCAGAGACTTCAATGGACAAGAAGTTTGTTGTATTTGAAGATGCAAATAGATGCGTTGCCATGCAATAGGAAAGAAGCGAAAATATGTAACTGCTGTCACTGTATTTTTTTAAGTCAATTCATTCCAAGCAAGTCTGGAATGCCACTAGCATGCAAGGGGTTACAGAGGATTGAGAACAAGAGTAAAGAGGCGTGTTTGGAGAAAGGATACAGAGAAGGACGGGGGAACAAGCTCAGGGTGTCAGATGTCGATTGATGTTACACTTGAATATTTGAAGATTATAGTCATCGGGGAAGCAAGTAAGAGGAAGGGCGTTCCATAGACAGGAAGTGCAGGAGAAGAAGCTGTTTGAGTAGAAGAGACAGTTGAATATAACCGTTTTGACAGTGAAAAGGTGTGACCGAAAGTCTGGGAATCAGCGAAAGTAGCACGTCGGAACAGTTGCTGTGAAATTACTTGTCTGCGGGATAGCGATTGTAGACTAGATGCCAGATCAGGACCTATCATGTTGCATATTCGTCTCTAGGTTTTTATCAAGGACCTCGAGATGTACAGCAAGAGCACCAGACCATATATGACAACAATATTCCATGCAAGGACGGATGGTTGATTTATAGATATGAAGGATGGACTCTGACAAGAAAAAACTTTCTGGCGAAACACAGAGAATCAACTTTCCTTGCGGTAGATGAAGCTATTGATTCAATATTTATTCCACCTCATGTCAGTGGACAATATGAGACCAAGCAGGAGTAACGAGGCGCTGTCAAGGAGTTGAAAAATCAGCTATTCTGATGGGAGGCAGAGAGGGAGTAAGACAATTTAAATATCTGGGAAGTGTCTTAACAGATAACGGAACATTTGATAAAGAAATGTCATATTGGAATAGCGGAAGATGTCTTCCAAAAGCCATGCAAAATATTAAGAAGCAAGAGAATTTCATTTGAAACCAAGAAAAGAGTACTAAATATCTCTGTTATATCGATCCTCCTTTATGCCAGTGGATCAGAAGAAACGGTTACATTTAACCGTTTTGACATTGAAAGGGTGGGACCGAGATGCCAGCTTGGTAGCTCGTTTAAATTCATGTAGTCCGAGAATCAGCGAAAGTACCTCGTCGGAACACTTGCCGTGAAAATATTTGTAGAAGAGAAAGAGGGAGGCCACGGCACGTCTGTGGGATAGCGATTGTAGACTAGATGTCAGATCAGGAACTATCATCTCTGGATTTTGTATGGATAGAAATCTACGCTAGACGTGAGAAGTACTCATGAGTATGACTATTTTGCAATTCATGCATTTTATGGCTATCAGCAATTTCAGCCACATATTAAATTGCTTTTTTTTAATATCATTCCTAAAGCCCCAATAAGAATAGCTGTTATTGTCTTTTCGATGTCACATTCGACAGATTTCAATCTCCGGGTCTTACTTTCTCAAACCTGTTTTTGTCAGCTGAGTTTGCAATGTCTATCTGAAGACATGTATTGTTAGCATGTTTTGTCACAATTATGTCTAGTCGTCTTGCTTAGATTTCCATATCATGTTGAAATTCCAAAGGATGGTAGCCTCATCTTTTTGCACAACTTGTGGTGGCTTATGTTACCACCAGTTCTCTTTACGAGAGAGGTTGAATGCGCGACATATTGAACAAAGCATATTCTAAACAGGTAAGAACTCTTTTGGCACCATTCGGCCACACCCAGTTTTATCTTCTTGTTATTATCATTATTATATGATGGATGCATTTTTTCTTTCTTCATATAGTAACATTTACGATTTGCTGTATCGTGTAAAACTTGAAAATATTTTAACAACAGTTCTTCTTTCTCTTCTGCTTCCACCTCTTTTTCTTCTTCTTTGTCTTCGTCTCCTTCTTCTTCGTCTTTGTCTTCGTCTTCTTCCTCTTTGTTTTCTTCGTCTTCTTCATCTTCTTCTTCTACTTCGTCTTCTTTCTTCGCAATTCTTCTTCGTTGCCGTCGTTGTCTTATTAATATTATTAGTATTCGTCTTCTTAATCGTAGTTGTTTTCTTCTTCTTCTTCTTCTTCTTCTTCTTCTTCTTCTTCTTCGTTTTCTTTTTCAAATTATTATTATTATTATTATTATTATTCCGTTCCTGACCAACGTTCGTTTTCTACGTCTTCTTTTTCTTCGTCGTCTTATTTTTTATCGTCTTCTTCTTCATATTATTATTCGTCGTCTTCTTCTTCTTCTTCTTCTTCTTCTTCTTCTTCTTCTTCTTCTTCACTCATTAATTGTTTCCGCAAGGAGTAACAGGTGTGACTTACACTGGTGATTAAAGCACTATTTTTAGTATTCTAGCTTTTTGCTATAATATCGTTTGGATGATTCTAAAACTGTTGCCGATTTTCAAAGTTCCTGTAATTTTCCCCCAAGACCTTCGGGACTATTCCAAATGTTGCAATAATGACTGCTACGACACTCACTAATATCAGAAATATTAATACCGCCTCTTTTTTTTCTTTTACATCCTTTTTATTTATACTCATTGATTGTTGAAACTTGTAGAATAACGGGACTGCGTTTGGATGACAACAAACACTGCCAATACTCTTGGAGACTTCTCATTACTCGAGTTGACTTTAACAATTCTGTCATCGGGATACTTTCGGTTCTTCCTCTTTCCAATACCTCTTCTTCTTCTTCTTCTTCTTCTTATTATTATTATTATTATTATTATTATTATTATCTGGTGTGGCTGAGCCTGAATTCCTTTGCTGTTATATTTGTTCTATTGACGTCAATTGGCCGGCCAATTCAAACATATGAGATTAATATGCAGGAGTGGTTGTACCTTAACACCCCCCCCGCGTCCACCTCCAGCTTACTTTTTATTAACTCTTCTCCTTGCTCTCTCCCTCTACCTCCTTACTTTCTCATTCTCTCTCTCTCTCTCGACACACACACACACATATATATATATATATATATATATATATATATATATATATATATATATATATATATAGAGAGAGAGAGAGAGAGAGAGAGAGAGATACGTGTGTGCGTACGTGTGTTTCTTTCTAGTGTATATTTTCCATTACCAATCTTTCTCTCTCTCTCTCTCTCTCCTTCGCTCAGCTACAGGTACACTCAAGCACACACTGACTCATTCTTTGCCTTTATATTGACTTTGTTTTTGTGCACTTAAGTGCGTTAATCAGTATATGTGTGCGTGTGTGTGTGTGTTTGCGAGCACGCACTCTGTCTGTAAAAGGATTAAAATGAGGCAAGACGTGTACCTTTCACAAATCAGCATACAACATTTACACCGACAACGCATGCGCACTCAGATCTTTCTATTTCAGATTGCCTCCAAATAGCTATACTTCTGATATCCTCTCCTAAATATTCTTCCGGATCATACCATTTATTTTTTGACTTGCATTTTATATCAGTAATAACCTTTCTTACTTTTAATACTTCGATAATTGGCATGTCATTTTGACAAGACATGTTCAAATCCAATAACTATATATGATATATAGCAATATATCCGAGAGTGGGCTGAAAAGTTAATAGGCTAATTATGAAGGAGTGGTGCTCGAGCTTTGAAATCTTGCATGCATTCATTTCAACTCTTCTTATTAATAACTGCATTGATTCTTTCCAGATATGAGGGTAGGCTGAAAAGTTCATAGACTGACTATAAAGGTATGATGCAGGAGCTGTGAAATCATCCATGCATTGATTTCAATACTTCTTAATAATAACTTTCAGGTCATCCCATAAGTTTTGTCCGATTTTTAACTTTTTGTTAAAATGAACGAAATTTAAAGAGTATTTTATAATGTCTAATGGAGCTGGACATTATTTTTATGTTTATATGCATTTACACTGATCAAATTTTATTTCAGAGAACAATAAAATTAAATTTTGTTTGATTAAAACCCTGCTAACATGGAAGTACCCAAGAATCATTTGAGGCACATAATGCTTTATGAGTTCAAGAAAGGAAACTCAGCAGCCGAAGCGGCTAGAAACATTCACTCAGTTTATGGAGAGGACTGTGTGAATGAAAGAACTTGCAGAAGATGGTTTGCAAAATTCAGAGGTGGAGATTTCACCCTTGAAGATGAAGATCGAACCGGACGTCCAGCTGAGTTTGATGAAAAGCTTCTTGAAGCAGCCCTTGAAGAAAATCCTGCTTTATCAGTTGAGGAATTGGCAGTGGTTCTCAGTTCAAACCATACAACTGTTCATCGTCATCTTCAACAACTTGGAAAAGTTCCTAAACTTGGAAAATGGGTGCCTCATGAATTGTGTGAAAACAACCTCAAATCCCGAGTTGACATCTGCTCTTCTCTCCATTCTCGCCAACTTGTTTCACCTTTTTTGGATAGACTTGTAACTGGCGACTAAAAATGGATCTTTTATCGAAATGTTAAGCGTCGTAGACAGTGGCTTGGTAAAGGGGAAGGACCCAAGCCACAGCCGAGAAGGGAACTTCATGGGCAAAAGGTTCTTCTTTCAATCTGGTGGGATCGCCAAGAAATAATCCACTTTGAATTCTTACCATCTAATACAACAATTAATGTTCAAATATTCTGTCAGCAATTAGAGCGTTTGAACCAAGCTTTGAGGAAAAAAAGACCTGCTCTAGTAAATCGAAAAGGGGTGATGTTTCATCAGGACAATGCGCAACCCCACACAGCAAGAATCACGTCACAAAAGATCGAAGAACTTGGTTGGGAGAAAATTCCCCATCCACCTTATTCTCCCGATCTTGCTCCTTTAGACTAGCATTTGTTTCGTACCTTAAAGAATCATTTGGAAGAAAGAGCTTTTGTAACACAGGAAGAGGTTAAAACTGACATTTGTGAGTTCTTCGAATCAAAGCCAAAAGAATTTTACAGTAATGGAATTAGTAAGCTTGTTAATAGATGGAAGGAAGTCATAGATAATCAGGGAAAATACATTGTTGATTGAATCTGTAATTAAATGTAATATTTGGTCACTTGTTTTCTTTATTCAAAATTCGGACAGAACTTATGGGATGACCTAATACATTGTTTTTTGTTATTTATTTTTCAGGTAAACTGATATCTGACTGTGCAAAGAATTCTTCAAAGTATCTAGTAGCGACATCTCTTGAAAGGTTTTATTTCGTGATGTTAACAAGCACCTGCAGACAAAAGGTTCTAACCCTCAGAGACATTCATGCTGACATGGTTGCTATATTAGGGATAACACCCTAGGTTTATCAACAGTTTAAAAGTGGGGAGCTGAATTTAGGAGGGAGGGAGAATCTTAAAAATATAGAGGAGAATATAGATCGTTTCCACCACAGGGTGATGGATGATAGGCAATTGACTATTAAATATCCCGTGAGAGAGTTGAGAATATTCTGCACAATGAACTTGGTATGATGAAGGTGTCTCTTCGGTGGGTGCCATGTTTTCTGACACCTGTTCAAAAGCTCACCACAAGAAAATTGTGACATTATTTGAGGCAGATCCAGCTGGTTTCCTTGAACATTTTCTAATCCAGGATGAGTGTTGGGTTCATCACTTTGAGCCAGAGACAAAGAGGCAATCCATGTAGAGGAAAAATCCTTCCTTATCTGCACCAAAGAAGACCAAGGTCGTTTCATCTGCAGAGAAGGTGATAGCGTTAGTTTTTTGGGATGACTATTTTCAAAAGGGCCACACCATCAATGGTGTGAGCTATGCCACCACGTCTAAGTAGTTACGAAAGGCTACCAAGACCAAACGCTCAGTAAAACTGACTAAAGGGTTTTTGTTTCATCAGGACAGTGATCTCGCAGACAAGTCCTTGGTTTCAATGGCTGCTGTGCATGACTGGCTTTAAACAGGTCAGTCACCCTCCTTATTCTACTGATTTGGCCGCATCTGACTATCATCTGTCCCCCAACAAGAAAAAATCTCTTGGCTGGGGACAATGGCCGCAATGATGAGGACGTCATATCTGCGCTTGTTGACTTTTTTGACCAACACGATGAAAGCAACTTCACCAATGAGATCCAAGTACTCCAACACCGATGGAAGAAGGAACTATACTAAAAAGTAAACCTCATTTGGTTACCTATGATCTTTTTTCAGTCGACTCTAATATATATATATATATATATATATATATATATATATATATATATATATATATATATATATTATTTCTATGTACTTATTTAATAACTGGTAGAAAAGTACCTAAAAAATCATTTAATTTATGAATACACATATATCGAAATAAGACGATGCTTGTTGTATTGTGCCAACAATAAAAGCGAAGTGAGACTCAAAATATTGCCAAGTCGGAAATTACAATTACGGGTTCAATTCTTTCTCTTATTTTTGTGATTCTCTTCGCTTCTGTCTTTGTGTTTGTTTGAATTTCAGAGTCACGTTATCTTTACTATTCAATGGTACTTCTAAATTATAATCGCCATCTTGTCGGCTGACACACATTCCTCTCTTGTGATAAATAAAACACCTATCAGGATCCTAGTTATTGAATAGTTTTCTTTCGATATTTTTTTTTCTTTTCTTTCCTTTCTTTTTACTGCTTTCGTAGTTGTTCATTTTTCTTTCTATTACGTTTCTTTTCTTTCTTCGTTCATCTCACTTTAGATATTGTTCCTCTCTCTCTCTCTCTCTCTCTCTCTCTCTCTCTCTCTAATTCTGTTTAACGATCTCTTTTCATACATTTCTTCTCCCTTACAGTTTTTATTTTACTTCTTTTGTTTTCTTTCATTCTTTCTTTTTATTTTTATTTCCGTTTTCCTTTTTAGATTTATTTCATTCATTCTTTCTTTTTTCGCTGTTTTTATTTTTCTTTCTATTTTTCGTTTTGACTTCTTTCTTTTATTCTTTATCTCATTCTTTCTTTCTTTTTCCTCTCTGTCTTTCCTACACTCTCTGTACTTGTTTCTTTCTTAAATTTCTTATAATTCTCTTTCTTTTTTCTCTCTTTCATTTCATTCTTTCTATCTTTCGTTTTTTTCTTCCTTATATTTATATTTTTATTTTATTTATTTTCTACTTTCTTCCTAATATTTTTCTTTCAGTTGTTCTTTCTTCAGTTTACTTCTTTCTTATATTTTTTGTTTTCATTTCAAGTTTCTTCTTTGTATTTACTACGATATTTCTTTCCTTTTTTTCGTATTATATTTCTTCTTTCTATCTTTGATTAACCATTCTTTTCTTTCTTTTCTTTATCCACCCCAACACTTCCTTAATCCTTCTTTATTTTCATCTATTCCCTTCTTTTTCCTTCAGTGATTCAATTATTTTTTTTCTCCAGTTTGAATTCGCACCACCCACATTTTACCTCTCTTCATTATATTTGTCTTTTCTTATTTTGTTTTTCTTTTCTACTTGTTTCATTTTTTAAAATTCATTTTTGCTTTTTCTATTTGCTTTTTTTCATTCATTCAAGATTTCTTATTTCATTCTCTGGCCTTTTTTTTTTCTCGTTCTTTTAGCATTTTCTATTTTGGTATCTTTTTACTATCTTTTTCATTTTTATATTCTATCTTAATTTTTGCCTTTCATTCTATCTTTTCTTTTTCATTAACTCTGCTAATTTTTGCCTTTCATTCTGTCTTTTCCTTTTGTATTTTTCATTCATTATGCTTTTCCTTATCCTGCATTTAATTCTTTTTTTTTATTTCCTTCTTTCATAGTTTACACCATTTTCATTTTTATTTCATTCATTCTGGTGTTTTTTCTTTCATCTTGTTCTTTTTCATTAAGCTGCTTCTTTCTTTTCGTCTTCATTTTTCTCTTTTATTTTTGATAATTATTTTAGCTACTTTTTCTATGCCACACAATTCTTTCTTCATTTTTCATTCCTTTTTCTTTTTTTTTTTTGACTGGGAAAATTACTTGATCTTTTTTTTTGTTTTTTGTTTTCATTTCTTTCCTTTTCTTTTGTTATTTTTCTCCATCCAACGACTTCTTGTTTATGTCGTAAAGATTTACTGGCGCCAATTTGACTTGCTTTTTGGCAAAGTCTGTTTCTATTTCGTCGCATGAAAAACAAACACTTTTGCCCATTCAAACGCGCACGCAGAAACGAAATAAAAACCAAATCCATGAAGATAAACGAATATAGACACAAGAACGCGTTCAATGAAACAAACATAGTTTCAGAAATGCATATATATATATATATATATATATATATATATATATATATATATATATATATATATTAAAACGATTGATGTAAGTTTTTCGGATCATTCTGAATAAGTGCCTCGATTCGTTCACCTCTGTGTCTTCATGCACACACACGCGCACACACACATATATATATATATATAATTATTACACAATAAAATCCAAAATCACGTTATATGGGAAAACTTTCTCCATATAAGGTGATTTTGTATTTTATTATGTATTAATTATTTGCTCTGCAATAGAAGCGTCCTGGGTATGACGTTAAACTGGATCCAACAGCAAGGCCTCTGATCAGGAGGTTTTTCGGAGCGTGGAACCACCTCCCACCTTGAGCCGGGGTGGTAGCACCTGTTAGGGTCCCAGCTATGGGCAAATAGCGAACTCCTAGCTCACGTCCTAGGTATGACAATAAACTACATCCGCGTCCTGGGTATGGCGATAAACTACGTCCAACAGCAAGGCCTCAGATAATGTTTTCGGAAAATAATGTTGCCAGCTATGCGTTTTTGAAAGAATAATGTTACCAGCTATGCGTTTTTGAAAGAATAATGTTGCCAGCTATGCGTTTTTGAAAGAATAATGTTGCCAGCTATAAGTTTTTGAAAAAATAATGTTGCCATCTCGACGTTTTTGAAAGAATAATGTTGCCAGCTATACGTTTTTGAAAAATAATGTTGCCAGCTATACGTTTAATAGTACTGTATATTTAATATATATATATAGGTATATGTATGTGTGTGTGTATATATATATATATATATATATCTATATATATATATATGTGTGTGTGTGTGTGTGTGTGTGTGTATGTGTGTGTGTATATATATATATATATATAACTTAATTTGACATTAAATGACCTACAGTGGTTGATATGCCATAAAACCCAACCAACCAACCAAAAATCTGCAATAGAAAATACATTGAGTTCTTTTCGTGGATTAGTTTTAATATTTTATATTACACACATATATATATATATATATAGTCATCCACATAGCCTGTTTCACTGTATCACAACTCATCATTGTGGCTAGTTCGATTGCTACAAGCCAAGATCGAAACTCGGCCGATTTGGTATCAGTCAGAGATCCTAAGCTATCGGCGCACGGCAAAGAAAGGGAGATTTTAACGTATTATATACGAGATGTATACAAACGCTAGCAGATGACAATTGTGCATTTGTGCAGCAATCCCGCTTTTATACAAGTTTCGTTAAAGACCACTGGCAATATACTGCATATCCGAGAGTTTTCTTCTACTCTTCTAACAAGGACAATTTTTATTTTTTTCATGTATGTATCTGAAGTTATAGGTATGTTTTATTTTCCAAACACGATCAGCAAGTTGTGGCCATGTCGTCGTTAATATTATTGAGTGTTGACTTTTCCATTTTACTATTAGTGCTGGTAATATTTTTTTCTTAAAAATTCATTGCTGGTAATCATTTTTTACAAAAATGTATTGCTGGTAATCATTTTTTACAAAAATGTATTGCTGGTACTAAATCCTATTTTTACACGTTCATAGTATTTTGATCCCAGTTCAGAAGTCAACTATTTGTTTGGGACCCTAACGGGTGCTACCACTTCGGGTCAGGATGGAACTGGGAACACCAGCAATTAAGAGGTGGTTCCACGCTCCTCAAAACCTCCCGACAAGAGGCTCTGCAGTTGCATTGTGTTTATCGTCTGACTCAGTACGTGGATGTAGTTTATCATCTTACCCAGGACGAAAGTTAGTTGTTCTTTCTTCCGCCAAGTAAAATATATAATTTGGGAATAATGTTTATGTTACGTTTCTCCTTGGTTACTTGGATTGCCTCCGAGATGAAAATAAAATGTTTTCTTTGTATTTATTTGGGTACAATAATACTTTATTCTTTACTCATTTAAATAGTCGAATACATCCAAGATCTACGCCATTCTCTATCTTTACAAAGTTCAGATCAGAGCAAAATGGATCATTGCTGCCATATCATGGCTGGTTCTGCCAATACCAGCCTTGGCAGAGTTCAAAAGTATTTATTCAGCATTCGAGATTAAGAAGGATTTTTCCACATGCAATATATTTCACACAGACGAAATAATCTATCGCAATTTCTATGGCAAATGCTCAGACGAGGTATATTCTTTAGTTCCACCAGTTCACACCTTCACAATTATGACCCGCTATGTCATGGCGTTAATTTATCCTCATTTTCTTCATATTCCTTTAGTAAGGAGGAAGTATCACGCAGACAGGCTCCTCTTTAGAAGTTTTACTTCGCGGAACAGACTTCCGAGTGGATGCTTCTCTGATCATTAAAATGTTATTCTCTTCAAGTCAAAGGTCAAACTATCTCTATCCTAAATATTCTCATAATATATACTAAACAGTAACCCTCTGCTCTGAGTGGCCCTTGGGCCTTTTATTTATACCATAAGTTGAGGGATTTACGGATAAAGTGAATGTCAGTAAATTCCCGGGTTTCCATTGGCTCTCATGATCACGTTATATTCTCTTTACCCCTTATCCTGCACCATGGTAATATCATATGTCTTTCGTCGGATCAAAACTGAATTGACCATTTATATGAAATATAAGAAAAAGATGAGCCTAACTTTAATTCAGGGAACAAGATGCAAATTGAGAATAAATTCGTTGTTGACACGAGAAAATTTAATGTGTTTTTTGAACACATTGAGTCATCTCGTGTCAACAGCATATTTATTCGCACTGATACTTTTAGTGTGAAAGCAAAAACAGTGTTAAGACTTCAGCTGCAGCTATAAATCAGCTCATAAAATAACGTTTATTGCCTAAGTTGGCTATTATAACGCTTGAAGTATGATTTCGTAATTGACCTCTGAAGGTCAACGTCGTCATACATTCAACATTCTCTAATTAAAAAGTATGTACTTGTCAATATTAAGTAATAAACTTACTCTCTTTCACACGCACACACATACACAAAGGGTGTCTATGCGCGTGTCCACATGTTTATATATTACAAAATGTTGTGGTTTTAAATGTTATGTAATCTGCTTTAAATTTTGCCACAATCTACCACAAATTTTATTGGGAAGTGAAAAAGCGAGAAATAAATGACAAGGTTTTGTAAAATATAACGAAGTTACTAGAGAAAAAAGCTGATTTAAAAACCTACAGACCCCAACGGCTCTAATACACACACACGCATGCACACACACACGCGCACACACACACACACACACATATATATATATATATATATATATATATATATATATATATATATATATATTAGTACCACTTAGTTTTTTTGGTACTCTCTATATAAAATTTTTCAACAGTCAGATTTTCTATTATAGAAATAGTGTTTAGGTAAACAAGAGAGTTGCCCAGACATTTGTTTTGCAATTGGCAATCGTTAGAATTTCTGGAATTACATTTGATTTGTTTATCAAAATTAGTTACCTTGTAATTTCCATTATTACTCAGGTTTTTATATTGGTTCAAAATTTTATTATTATGTTTTTTTTATAATTTTTTCCAGATTATCAGAGCAACTATAGCTTAGTTTTAGAGTATTTATGCTAAATATTTTACCGGTTGGATTATTTCTGGAGAAATGCTTATCAATTGAGTAATTTCTGCCCTAACTTAGTACTAACCATTTGGTTAAATGGGGGTGTATACCAAATGATTTTCATGTTCCTATTCCTTTTTCCTCGAACGCTATTATCATGTTTACTGTTCTTGATTTCTCTGCTCTTGTAACCACTATTTTTAAGGCAGTGTTCTAAAAACGCCTGTAATTATTAAAGACACTTTTGTTTGAAGAGTTGTTGCTGATCCTATATTCTATAGAGGAGGGTATATTCAGATGGAAGATGGTTAGAATTCGGGTGAATATATATTGGGTTGAAATAACCTTGGAATACATCATTAACAAGATCTAACGTAACATCAAGAAAATCTACCTGCTGAACATCAGTAGTGATTTTAACATCAAGGTTTAGGCTTTTTAATTATCTGTGAATCATTTTCCTTAATTTATCAACCTTAATTTTAGTAGACGTTTTACTAACATAAGACCATCATCTCTATATAATCCTATATTATCAACACTAATATGATCATAAGCACTTAGATTATATATGATAAACAAACCCACCACATCAGAAGACACTACAGAATCTAATGACTCCATAGAAATATCAAAGTATGAATTTAGCGTAGGTCTGACACCTAATTGGTTAATCGGGGTAAACCCACAACCTTCATTTTAATTCTGATCTTATTTCCTCGTTTTCTCTTCTCTTTCGAAAAAAGAGGGAGTATTTTGCTTTTGAAAATAAAAATAATCATTTACTCACCAGTCATTTACAACTCTTGAGCGACTGTTCGGTTCAACTCTCTTCCTACGGGCGGGAGGAACCCGAAGGAGGCTACGCCGAAGGGCGGAGTCTCCTTCGGGGAGGTAAAACCGGCCCTGAACCCGTTTATACGGGTTCAAATGGGCTATTTTTTGGCCGAGCCTAATGGCTTAGGAATTCCCACGTTAAAAAGGCCTTGTGCCACATGACACCCTCGTGGGGGGTGACTGAATATCGTCATTTACAATCGCCTGAAGAAGCACAGCTTAGTACCGAAACACGAAAGCTATTGTGTAGCAATTTTAAATATGTTTTTTGTTTTAATTTTTTTCTTTTCAGTAGTTGAATTATACTTTCAACTATACATTTAGCCATTTTCAAGGATAAAATACATTAACTGTTAACTGGAAATAGATTGCATGTATTTAGCATTATATGAATATTTAAATACTGATGGAGAGCTACCGGAGCCTATTTGCAACATATTTGTTTAATAATACAAATATAATAGCACCGTCTACATGCAAAAAAAGGCTAAAAATAATGTAAGCCTTATTAATAAAAAAAAAAAAACAGTACTCAGTAATATCAACTACGAACATGGGTACAATATGTTGACTATTCTATAATACTAAATACTAAAATAGATAGATAGATAGATAGATAGATAGATAGATAGTGAGAGTGTGATAGGGAGTGAAAAGGGGGAGATTTGCGATTAACAGTGAAGTAATTAGCGTTTGAATGTATAAATTGTTGGCGTTATGACTATTTCTTGATACCGCCAAGTCCAATGTCATATTGTGAGCTCATAAATTAACAATGATTTTACAAAAACCAATACGAGTAAATTACTTTCAACAAGAACCGAAGATTGTAAGCATAAAAATCAAGCGAACATATTCAATAAAGAATTTGCAACAGACAATAGGCAAAAGAATTCCTTACATTAAATCTAAACACTATTTATCCCCAAATGTAATTTGCTTTCATCATTTCGCTTACTTTTTAACGATCATTTTCCCTCTCTTAGCCTCTCTGTTTTCTATCATTTTCTCTTTCTTTGTTCTTTTTTCGGCTCTTTTCTCACGTGTTTGTCTTTATTTCTTTTTTTTCTTTTTCCTTCTTCATATTCAATTACACTCTCTCTTCCTTTCTCTCTGTTTTTCTCGCCCTCATTTCTTTTTCTTTTTCTTTTTTTTTTTTTTTGTTACACTCTTCTTTTCCGCTTTTATTTATTTTATTCTCTTTTCCAATAAAATATCTTTTCTTAAATCATTTTTTTATTTTAATATTTAACTCTCTATAACATTGTCTTTCAACTGATCTCTCCCATTTTCCCTCGTCTCTCTCTCTCTCTCTCTCTTTCTCTCTTCATCTTTCTTTGTCTCTTTCACTTTTGTTTATCCTTTTCTTTTGTTTAATTTTTTTTCTTTCTATTCCTCTTCAAATTGCTCTTTCTCTCTTTCTCTTTAGGTAGCCTTTTCTTTTCCACATTTTAATTCTTGCTCATTCTCTTATTCTTTTTACTTTCTCCATTTTCTTTTTCCTTTTTTTTTCCACAATTTATTTCTTTCTCTCGCTCCTTCTCTCTTTTCCTTTTACATGTTTTTCTTTTTCTTTTATTTCTTCTCTCTTGCTCGTTCTCTCTCTTCATTTTCGTTTTCTTTCTTCCTTCCTTTTTTCCTTTTCTTTTACACATTTTATTTCTTTTTCCCACTCGTTCTCTCTCTACCTTTTTCTTTCTCTTTCTTCCTTCCTTTTTCCCTTTTCTTTTCCACATTTTATTTCCCTCACTTTGTTTCCTTTTCTATAAGACATTCCCTTTTTGCATATTTTTTATTTTATTTTAAAATCTCATATATTCTTCACTCTTTCTCTTCTAACTGCTTTCTACCGTTCTCTCTCTCTCTCTCTCTCCCTCTCTCTCCCTTTATTATTTCACACTCTTTTTTTTTCTCTGTTTCTGTTCTGTAAAATAATTTTACTTTTTCTATCATTACTATAATATCTCATGTTCTTTCTCTTTCTCTTGTAAATGCTCTCTCTCTCTCGCTCTCTTTCTTTCTTTTCCTATTATGTTACACGCCTATTTTTCTCGTCCTATCACCGCTTATATTTTTTCTACTAATGTTATTTCTTATCAATTTTAGTCTATTGCCCGAGGCGTAATCCAGTATCCATCACCTGACGACATCTCGTTTGCAATTTGCTAACTTATCAACGTTTCGTTCGTGTTCGCTTTTCCTTTCCTGTTGTTCATAAACGGAATAATACAAACGCAAATCCTAATCTAGTTCTAACACCAAAGATGTTTGTAAACAGAATGAGAAATTAACGCCATTTAGCATTCCCCGCACAAGATATCAGATCAATAGCTTCGTTGGCGATGGTTTTGATAATAAACGCTTCCGTCCAGACGCCATATTGATTAATTGCTTTTTTTATGTGCATGAGAGTTTGTCGATTATTAACGTTTTCTGCATTCCTCCCTTATACTGTTTTTTTTTTCCATTTCTTATACAATTTTCTCCTGTTACATTTTGTTTATTTTTGATCTTTCTGACTTTTTTTCTGTTATAATCTTAATATTTTTGCTTTCATCTTTGCAGTTCGCTCCACCTTTTCTATCTTATCCTTTGTAACTTGCTAAAAAAAATAACAGTTAATTGCTTGATTCATTTTTAGGATTGAATCCTCTACTGTTTTCCAATTACGTACAATCTCTAGAATATTTAAGCAATCATCCTATGGTAAAATAAGAAATGAAACGACCGAGTTGTGCTTCTCCCAATAAATGTTTCGAATAGCACAGACAGAACGTGTGACAAATGAAGAAGTTTAAGGAGAAAATGAAACTACAGAGAGTCTATTGGTGGCAATCAGAAAGAAAGAGCATGAATTTTAGGGACACAGAATGAGAAAGAAAGGTTTTAAAAATTTAACACTCAAAGATTGCAGAGAAAATAAGAGGTGCAAAGAAAGCAGCGGCGTTGGATATTATGTATATTTACTCAAATAGTTATAGCTCTGTTTCCTAACATTGAGCACTGTATTTATAACCCCTGAGGAATAAATCTATTTATACGTACCTGCAAGTACATGTACGTGTGTGTAGATTTTTTATCCTACTCAGTCTTATATGTGCGTGTGTTTTCTTTTCGTATTCTACCATCCGAATCCCTTTTTGATTTCTGGAAGTTTTTCTCCTTCTCTCCCGTTCTTTTTGTCTCTATTTTTCAGATGACTGAAACGGCACAATAAACAACGCAGGTTTTTCAGAGGGGGTAAGGAAAAATTCAATTTTAGGAGCATTTAAGAAATCTAATATATCTAAGTAAAATTCTAACCGGATTTTTATTTTATTTTTTTTTTTTTTACGAATTGACATGCATTTTGGAAACGTGATTAAAACTTGATCAATGGCGGCCATCTTTTGAATTATAGACGAAATTTCAACCACGATGTTGTAAATTTTTTGTTCGATTTTATAAGCTATCGTGATACATGTAATATTGAGTTGCGATATTTATTCCTTTTTTTAGGGAAATATTGAAGGTTAAACTGAATCAATTTTTTAGTTTAGTTGACCCATAACAATGACTGTAAATGCCACCCTTTACAGACACTGCATAATTTACGAGTCCAGAAAGACATCATCGTCTTCAGTAACGATAAGAAATAATCCGCATTTTTTATGAGAATAAAGTCTTATGAGTTATAAAATTATATTAATGATTTATTTACTGTGTTCGGGAAAATTTAGACTCAAAGTTTTTCTTTGTCCTGGGTGATAAACTTTAATCGGCAATCAAGTTCCCCTAAACGTAACTGAAGACAGCCAGTAGCTTGCAACGCGAGAATGTCAGAACGAACCACGGAACAATCATATACCACTTTCATGAACGCGGTCAAAACATGGCCAACGGGTCTCACGTTATCTCACCGGTTTCCAGTGTTTTTCATTAAGGACAGGAGACGTTAATGAATCATTTCTGGAAATGATTGTTCCTAGAGATGAAAAATAGATCCTGAATAACTATATTTAGCAAGAGAAACAATGTTTACGACTCAAAGAAAAGCCTGTGCCGGTACAAAAACAAAATCCACACACCGAAAAGGTAATGCTCTTTATTTGGAGGGGTATGAAGTTTTGTCGTCTATCATGGACTATAATTAATGAAACTATCTATTGTGATAGATTTATTAGTCAACTGGAAGAACTACACCAGACTTTATTCAAAAAGAAAGCTTCACTGATCACTTGGAAACGTGTGTTACACTTGTATGTTTATAATGCTCCCCGAAGTTCATTCTTGGATGAAAATGATTTTATACTAATAATCAGACTTATTTATGAAGAAATAAATCCACCCCATAAGTAAGATATTTTTTAAACCTAATCTAGCCAAGTATTCAGTATGAACTGTAGCATGTGTTCATGAATACCACTTTCCGTTTGAAATCCAGTGTCTTCTTCTTGAGCCATGATTGAAGTTTGATCCTTAGGAATTCAATGTATACACACTAATTCATTTTGACGCCATCAGCAACACTTCAGGGTGGTTGTCGGTGCACCTAACTCGTTATCAATAATCCCTGTTTAAATGATAAAACTCCTCCGCGTTGATGCCTCAATCAAAGAGGCTTTCAGGCCATCTTGTATCGCATTTCACGCTTCCGTGAATAAGTCACGGTAACAATTTAATTTTAAATAATTTTGGGCGCAAGAAATAGAGTTAGTGAGGTGATTTGGTTTTCGGATGTATTATCATGAGGTTTTAGGTACATTTGGAGCTCAAATGGAAACAATAATTATTTGCTACAATTAAGTGGGTACTTATGAATCTTTGTCTCCAAATGGCTTTCCATTCGTCGATTAAGAGACAAAAATCCACAAGCCATCAGTTAACACGGGCACTTCATTCAACTGGATTCTAGATTAATTTCTTGATCTTACGCTCGTTTTTTATATGAGTTTTAACAGTCGCCGCCGTTACTTGTCGTTCATAAAGCTTTTCAATAATATTCGCCTTCTCTAGTCAAACATCCTTTACGGCTTGTGGTATGGATTTTTCCCCTTTATACTTATTCTGCATTTAAGTAAGTTCAATAGAACACACTTCATTCTAAGGTGAATAAAGCTTTAGTTAAGTTACACATACGTTCATTTTCTCACTACAATTTATTCAAGTGAGAAATCCCCAACATGGAACATTGTATGAGACCACAAAGGTTCGATCTCCATTCTATCCATGCTACAACTGTTGAACAATGAACCCATTGAATTTTAGAAACCCTTAAAGCGGAGCACCCTCACCTACAAATAAACAAGACGAGGCTGATAACGATCTGTCTCTCCATTTCTGTCTACAGGATAATTTCGGACTCCCCTTCTTATGAGGAAGCTATAAACTTGCTACACGCAATTTACTTCAAAGCAGGGTAGACAAGATAAAGATGTCAGAGGCGGCTGTCGACTGCGAACCACGACGACACCCTTAAAGGTGGAATGACTTTCTCTCGTACAAATAACCATCAAGGAGGGGGGATGGTATGGATTATCTCCCCTTATACGTATTCTGTATGTAAGTAAGTCCAATAGGACACGTTTAATTCTGAATTGAATAAAGTTATACTCATGTTCGTTTTCTCACTGCACGGCTCATGTTGCATATAATGTTGGAATGGTGGAGAAGGAACCGACATCACCAAAATGGCTACCAGCTGTTTATTGCTGCGCAGAACAATTTCATATTTAACATCTTTGCGCATGCTAGTGCTGCCAACCTTTTACTAAAAAGATTTTACAATCCATGCAGACAACCAGAGGATAATTTAAGAGATGCGATTTGTAATGTACTAAAGAAAATACTTCTCTCTATAAACCCGCTTAATGTCTGTTTCATGAATAATAAAACATGAATAATGAATAAGCGATTCCATTTTGAATAATTGTTGTCATTTCTGTCGGCTATGTAAACATTATAATCAACATGTTTTGTGCTTCAACAAACCTGTCGAACATATTTCGTTCCTTTGCCTTTGATGCACGTCGTATTTAGCTACTTCGACATTCAAAGAATGTTGCCATTCTCCTTTCAACTGTTTCCACTGACCAATCCTGAAAATTTACTTTTCTGTGCACAAAAATGTACAAAAACCAGATATTCAAACGATCTGTACTCGATCAATCAAACAGAATATCAACATAAAATGAACAGGTTTATTAACAGAGAAAAAAAAGCCAGGAAAGAAAAATATTCACAGCGCGTTGTAACAAATGCGTGCGTAAGATAATTTAATAAATTAGACAACAGAAAATGTAATAAAATATACTAATACAACTAAAATTGCAAAATAGTACATACAAAGTAAATGTACACCCTTGTGCAAATTAATTGAAACAAAACGAATAATTGCGACATTATTTACTTTTTTCTTTTTTTTTTTTTCGTATTTTTCCAATGAAACATGACACAGTGCATCTGTTAGTACTTCGTATGTCCATTCCACGAAGTCGTTCCTTGCAGATTGACCACAGATTCTCGACTGGATTTAAATCAGTGAGTTTCATTGCCAGTCTATAGCACTTTGATTTGCTCAGTGGTAAGGCTTGCCAGAGTGTTCGTGCAGTGTTACAATTTTTGTATGCTTCCTTGGAGTAACGTTCATCGCAGACAATGGCCGTAGGACAACTAATTGACAGTCGAGACAACAGTGCCTGGGTGTGATAAAAATCTGAAGCAATCACGGATGACGCAATATTTTTCAAGGCCAAACAAATTTCATCATACATCCCGAAAACAGATTCATGTTACTGCATATCATTGCAAACCTAATCCGAGGAAAAAATAGAAATCGATTACACCCTGTCACTCCAGTGGGTCGAAAAGTGGCCGAATGGGAAAAAAGGAAACTAAAGCACTTGTTTCAATTCATTTGCACAAAGGTGTATATATAAGACAGGCTAGCGG